TGGTTGCTACATAACAAATTATAACTCTTAAAAAACAAACTTAAGACACACACTCAATTGATTTCACAAATTCAATGTTATAATTTATAAGTACCGTAAATGCTACATAAATTAGTGATAATTAATTTTCAAGTTTTAAAGCCTCTCAAGTGACCAAAATAAACACCCGCATCAAGTTGACTTTTCGCACTTGTTCAATAATGCCGGCAATTACACAACTCTCGATTACATTTGAGGCAGCAATTAAATCTAATCTGAAGCGTATTTATGGACAATATTGACTCACAATGGGTCGCATTGATGTAGTTACCCCCGTTCCGCACCGACATTTGTAATTACGATTGTGATATAAGTTGAGCACGCCAAGTTTGAAACATCAACACTAATTCGTTGTTTGTTTAGTAAAAAGCTTAGCTTTCTAATTATCGGAAAGAATTTTATTGGAATTGGTTCATATAAACATAACACTACCGATTTATGGCATTTGCCTTGGGGCTCCTCGTGTAACAAAGCATTTGCATAATGAGTTGGCCCTTTTATGAGCCCTATAACCTTTGCCACTTGCCACGTGACGCAAAAGTGTGTAAAGCAATAAAGGTCGAGTTTTTCCGGGAACGGGACAAGGAAAAGGAAAAGCGGAGGCGATTTTCACCCGCAGACAAAGTTAATTGAAAATGGCTAAGGTTCAGCAAACGAATTCCTCATGACTCCTACAGCAGCTTTGGCATTTTATTTGCCAGGCATATTTGATTTCGGGCTCCTTTTCATATCAGGTGTCAAAGGCTTTTCCGGAGGGCGGCATCGTCTCCCGGAAACCTTTTTAGCATTTCCATGTCAAAGCACTGCTGGCGAAGCTATTGAGAGCCGTTTCGTCAGCTGCAGACATTGCATCAGTTTCCCCTTAACTGCATCTTCGAGTGCCGCAATCTGGGAAGCCAAAATGGATTCGCAAGGATTGAAAAGGAGCAGGAGCAGGAGCATCCTGGCGGGTCGCAGTTCTCTGCGGCCGACACGTGAAACCATCATCAATCTGGGAGCACTGGCAACGACAGTTTTAACGACTTCTTGCGGATTACTTCAAACAAAATAAGCACTTTGTAGTAGGAATTTTATGTTGGCCCAGTTGGTGTTGATGGCTTTGCTTCTGCAACGGCCACTGCCACGGAGAATCCGCTGCATTTGGCCAAAGTTTTGCTGCGTGCCGCAAAGTTCACCCTTCCTGCGGTATCCGGTATTCGGTACCCGGAATCTGGAACCCTTTGCCACCTCGTCCTCCACCCATGACGAAATATCCGCAGTGCAAATTGCCGGACTCCCACAAAAGCAACAGCCGTAGGAGACAAGGCGATGGAATAAATATTTATTGATACTGCAGCCACGTGGCATAATTTGCCTTTAACCAGAGATGCAGTAATTTTGGCCAAGCCACCCACTTTATCTTCTGACTTCTTAGGTTGGTTACTTGAGGGCCATGCATAAGTGTTAGTGCGTTGCCGAAAACAATTTGAGACTCTATAATTCAATTTTGCACATGGAGATCTTGTAAAAATGTCTGATAGAGGAAAATTAATTGAAATACAACTTCCTTTGGGCAACGTTATGTGTTCAACAAAAAACTAGTTGTTAATATTCTTCAAACTGAATTTTACTTAAGGCAACTTTATGTTTTCGAAAAGAAGATATAAACTAACTAAATTAAAAAAAATTTAATAGCTTGAATTAAATTTACATGTAATTAACAGCCAACATGTAACTGTTAATAAAGATTACTGAAATATATTTAATCTTGTAAGATCCTTTTAACCAACGTTTTATTTTGCTATTAATTGACAAAAAAGTGACTATTTAATAAAAAGTCCCTTATTTAAATAATTTTGTTTACTCTTAAATATAATTGAGAACATTATCCGAGTTGCAGAGTTTTTTAAGCGATTATTTATTTCAACAAAGAAGTTTGTTAGATATATTTAAAAAAATGTACCATTCATGTAGCCTCAATCAATAGTAAGTTACCCAAAAGTTCGGTTTTACAAACTAAGTGTTTGAAAGCTTTTTTAGAGAAATCATTTACCAAACCACTTTTGAATGTTCAAATGAATAAATATAGCTTTATATATTTACTATTCACAGCATCTGCTTTTAAATTATTACAGAACAAGCAATTAAGCGAAAATGCCCTCCTCCTCGGCCTTGTTGACCAGGGCCTTCAGACCGGCGGTGACCTCGAGGCCCACCTCGGTGATTTGGTTGGAGGGCAGGAAGAAGCCAAAGGTGCCCTTGTCACGCAGCTCCACGGTGCAGGTGAAGGGGATCTTCTTCACGCCATAGGCCCAATCCTTGGCAGCTCCAGAGACGACATCTGCGGGGGATATATGAACGTTGTTAATAAAGGATTCTATCGTCTTAATAGTACCTGGAAAACTCACAGTTAAGCAGACCACTAGCACCGTAGGTGAAAGTAGAACCATAGACATCAGCAGCGGCATCCGAGAAAGCGGCAGCAATTCGCTTCATTTGCTCGTAGTTGGGAGGGAACTCGGTGTTGGAATGGCCATAGGGCAGCAGCACATACTGTCCATAGGCGTGGTAGGCCATGTACGAGCGAATATAACCATCCTCAAAGGAACTTACGAAGTTCTGGAGCGACACGATCTCCACCTCGGTGTTGGGCTCCTCACCGCCAAACCAATGGTCGCAGGGCTCGTCGATGTTCCACCCGGCACCTCCCCAGTGGTAGTCAAAGTTCCGGTTCATATCGATGCCATAGCAATCTCCGGTATCGTTCCTATATCCATTGGGGCGTCGGTTCTTGCGCCACAAACGCTCCACTTCGTGGGTGTACACAAAGCCATCCGGATTCACCATGGGCACCACAATCCAGTCGTACTCCTCGCTCAGACGCTGCATTTCCGGATCCTCGGAGTTGATCAGCTGGTTCAGCAGGAAGGTGACGGTGGCCGACGAGATCCACTCCATGGCATGGATGTTGCCCTCCAGGAAGATGGCCTTGTTGCCCGGACGCTTCGACAATCTCACGCTCTTGATTTCGCGACCCTCGTACGACTTGCCAATCACTCGGCAGTCCAGAAAATCTTCGTGGGCAGCACACTCCTGATCAACCCAATCGTAAATGGTGTCCAGAGTGTGGTACGTCTCCCATTCCATTTGGGAATCGTCGCCCACAGAGGCGTCGTCTATCAATCTGAATGGGAAAGGTTTTTACATAGCTTTTAGGCTTGAAATTCAGAACTCACTTTTGCAGATCCTCCACAATCACATCGTAAACAATCTCCAAGAATTTCATGGTCTTCTCGAAAACTCTGTGGAACAGAGGACCCACAATAACATTGTATTTGTGGCCGGGAGCACCCAGGTCGTTAAGGAAGTGCACCTTAAAATGGGTATAAAATTGATCAACTCTATAAAGAAAACTTCAATTTATACTTACAGAGATGTGCTCGTGAATCTTCTTAAGCTCTTCCATCTGCAATTTCGTTTCAATGGTCAGCTGGTAGATCCTGAAATTGTCGTACCGCACCGCCATGCGACCAGGAGCGGACTTGGCCGCCACCACAGCCACCAGGGCGATCAGGAGGATAGGTAGTTTCATTTTACTGGCTTAGCTGTTCTGAACGTTGCAGCGTTCACTGTGAGGTGACGGATCCCAGCCAGCGTATTTATTACCTGCAGGAGTGGCCACTCCACTGGGGCGTTATCTAGTGCCGATAGGGAGCTGCGATCGGTCATCTGGCGTGTGGCTCCTCCGATCTTATCGCCCATCCAACCTACCACAAAGTAAGTGCTGGGCTTTGTCATCCGACAGAAAAGTGGGTAGCAAAGCTTCCTGCACAGAGACAAAAATTTATTAAAAAAAATGTATATTTTATAGAAAAAAAAAATTATAACAGAACTAGTGCTCCGATTATGATTCTTACAATAAAATAAATAAAATAAAATAAAAGTAATCAATGTATGAGTACTATCTTTTAATCTTGTTTAGAATATATTTCCTTAAAGTGTCACTAAAACGTTTCTCTCCCAGTTTCATACTTGGGTAAGCATTTAATATACCTCTTCTATTAATTTCTGTTCTAACTATTTGACATTAACAAAACAAAACCTTTGGTGAATAATATCATATTTGGGCAAAATTAAAAATTTTTATTTTTTTCGGTGCATTAAAACCAACAATGTCAGCCGAGTCAAATTTATAAATGAACTAATGCAACAAGTGCTGGGGCACTCGCCCTATCAGCCAAGTTCAATTAATTGAATACTCGTCCATTCGTCTGCGAGTCAAGAAGCACTTCGAGGAGCATTTTTAGAATGCACTAGTAATCTGAAGATCCACATCTTCAAGTGTCTCCACACTCTCCAGTTTCCTTCGTCAAACAATTAATTGTGAAACGAGTGCATTCATTCAGTAAATTTACTAGCAAGCAAATAATTTTAGGTGATAGCATAATAAATGAAATACCTAATACGCAGAAGACTGGTATCTTATGGTCTGATACTATTATATGACCTTACAATTTCGGTCACTTTTCTGCAAAAACATTTGATTTTTAATTTGGAAATCATTAATTCGTCAAGAGAATTTGAACCCAGGTTCTTAGAAAACTACGCTAGAAAAGTTTGGATGTATGCTTTTACACTGTAAAATTTACAGAATCGGAATACAAAGTTTTGGGCTTACAGATGATGGTTTTACAAAATAATTATATCAAAGATTCATTCAGATTAAAAGTAACGTACTTTGTCGACCAGCGTTGCCAGAAGATCGATTTACCAAAACTTGAGTGGAATCGTTAACAGTGTTAGAGATGGATAAACACCGATAATCTACTGCAGACATCGATAGCACCGATTTTTGAAAACATCGATAACAACTATGCTGTCATCAGGTTTTGTTCAGCTCTAGCGCGCCGCCATATTTCTTTTCCTTATTTCCGGTAAGAGTGTGTAATCCGCGTTTTTCCATTAAAATTAACTTTTATAAAAATATAACTTAATTCTTGGTATGGCTTATGTAAAATATCATATTTTTGACTAAAATCTAGCGGGGTAGTCAAGTATTGTTGACTAAAACGACCTATAGAGGGGGTAAAAGCCTACTTGAAAAATCGATGAAAAACGACCCCCACCTAAGATTTTCTGCCGCCCATTTGAACCGGCGCCAGATGATTTTCCCAAGCTTAATTAAAACGATTTACGACACAATTACCTAACCAACTGTTGCCCACTTGTTGCCCTGCAGATAAAGATGCCCGAACTTACCGAAATCAAGAACGAGGCTGCGCCCTCCACCTCCGCGGAGGCGAAACCCGAGGATGTGCGCGTCGAGGACGACGGCAGCGATAGCGACTCGGATGGCGGTATGCCCGGTCTGGAGGAGGCTGGAGCGGCCACCACCCAGCTGGGAGGCGGTGCCACCGGTCTGCCCATCGACCTGGTGTCCAAGGCCAAGCAGTCGCGCGGCGAGAAGAAGGCCAGGAAGATCATGCTCAAGCTGGGCCTCAAGCAGATCCAGGGCGTCAACCGGGTGACGATCAGGAAGTCGAAGAACATCCTGTTCGTGATCAACAACCCCGATGTGTACAAGAACCCTCACAGCGACACCTACATCGTGTTCGGCGAGGCCAAGATCGAGGATCTGTCGCAGCAGGCCCAGGTGGCTGCCGCTGAGAAGTTCAAGGCCCCGGAGGCGGCTGGTGCTGCCGACAGCGTTGGAGCCACCACATCGGTGGCCCCCATTGCCGAGGAGGACGAAGAGGAGGTGGATGACACCGGCGTGGACGAAAAGGACATTGAGTTGGTCATCACGCAGGCCAACACGACGAGGGCGAAGGCCATCAAGGCACTCAAGAACAACAGCAACGACATAGTCAACGCCATTATGGAGCTGACCATGCTTTAGAGAAGGCTACAGCTGTTGCTGAACTCCTCATTTTGTTGTTTACCCGCCTTTCGATACACTACTACTGACCCAAATGTTGTGCATGCCCCACGTGGGGGCAGCATGTTCACCAGTCGAACATTTAATTTTATTTCAAATGATTATTGAATCAAATAAAAGTGGAATTCTTTCAGATACGATTTAGTGTATTTTTCCGACTAGCTTTGGGTTAACGCTATGGGACGTCTTAAAATGCCATAGCTTACCAAATTCGATTAGGTATAGTAGACTGAGGTTCCGGGTTAAGTACTTTGAGATTATGGGACTGGCACATAAGGGGTTGCTAGGGGGATTATCTACTAAGTTCAGGTTGCATCCAACTTTAGGACACGGGCCTGGCTTCGCGACGACAAACGTATATCGGCCGGACTCTGCATCCAGGGCTCGCCGTCCGCCTGCATGGGCACCGTTTCCTTGACTTGTAGCTGAAAGAGATCGTTGATCAAAATACGAAATATAATTTAGATATGATCAGTCCCCATACCCTTATTTGTTTGGCTTGGCCAATTCGAACTGGCTTGCTAATATTGCACTGCAGCTGGGCAATGTGAAAGGAGGAAACAATGCCAAACACCTCCATCATGCCGTCCGAGATGGAGTTCACGATGCGCACCTCGCCATTGGAGTTGCTCAGCTCGCATAGTTTGCAGCCCGCTCCCCAGGAGTCAATGTTTAGGAACACCAGGGCCTGAAGTTCAGGCAGTTGCACTGGCTTGTTGTCCAGGTACAGGGTCAGCTTCTCCTCGATGTGTTCGCAGCCAGGTTGCATCACCTGCTGCGTTCCAAAGGTGAAGTAGAGAAGCTGTAAATATAGGGGGTTATTTAAGATTAAGAAGGTCTTACTATCTCGTGCCTTACCTTATTGAATATTCTACTGCTGAGCAGATAGAACCGAGATTCTCGCGTCTTGTGAAAGTTGTAAGTGATGAACGCATCCACACCCACACTGAAGTAGTTGTACACGTGAATCGTCTTCGTGGGATGCCTCTGGATGGGCAGTCGGTAGTGCAGCTTCTCAATCTGCAGGTCGTATCGGTCGAGATTCACGGAGCGGGCGCGCCGAATACTCCTGAGGATCTCCACAGGATCGAGCACCGAGGGCGGCTCCGCTCCCCAGCCTAAAACTCGCGACAAATCGTTGCCGGTGCCCAGCGGCATGATGGCCACCGACGGCTGGGGTTTGATGTTCAACGCGTAGATGGTGTTGAGCACCCAACCGATGGTGCCATCGCCGCCGGCCACTAGTATGCGACACGGGCGAGGACTGGCCTTGGCGGCCCACTGTAGGGCGTCCTGTGGACCGCGGGAGCCCAGTTCCATCACCTGCAACGGGTGCAGGTAGCCACGCAGCAGGGACAGCACATTGGCGCCCGTACTGCTGCCCGACTTGGTGTTGGCGATCACAATCAGCGGCTCCCAGTTCTCAATGTCCGGCGGCGTGATGCTGGCCAAATGCAAGCGCATCGAATCTCTAGTTCGAGCGGCCACAAAGCTGTAGGGCGGGAAGATCATGTCCTTGAACTCGCCAAAGTCACAGGTGCTCTTGGAGTCGACACGCGAGTAGCAATCGTTGTGATAGCACCGCTGGCACCAAGCACACCGCCACCCATACAATCCCGGATCGGTGCTGACATGGTGATCCACCTCCTCGCCGCAGTCCGCGCAATGGACGCCCATGGGCAGGTTGCCGTGGACCCACAAATGCCGCACGGAGGACTCGTTGCGCAACCATTTATCCTTGCAGCGGTACTCCCTGTCCGCCCTTCGCTGGCAAAGAGGCGTGGCATGGGTGCACAGGCCGCAGCAGTCGCAGAAGAGTCCTGCGGAGGGGGTCAGCAGGATCTCGCAGACGTTGCAGAAGCAGGCCTATACAGTAAGTATGTAAATACAGGAAAACCTCAACAAGTGAATCAACTCACCTGCTCGATGACTTTTATTGATTTCCAACTGTGACGTGTTTTAAAAGTGCTCACAAAGTCCTCAGCGAGCAGGCTGCGGCAGAAGGCGAACAGGACACCCAGGGCCAGCAAGGAGCCAATCAGAGCCTCCACGCTCAGCTCGATGGTGGCTATGTCCATGGTCCACGAACAGATTGGCCAATTACGCTAAATTTTCAGGTAATTTGACATTTTCACAATTCGTTTGTTTTTGCACCGTCGACATTCCACCAGTGTGACCGCACCGACAAAAACAAAAAATAACATTGGCTTTCTGATTTCATGGTCACCCCTACTTGTTTTTGACATTTTCCACACTGCTTGTCAACCTCAGAAATCAGCTGTGAATTTGGCGTGTGGAAAAAGTTTGCCTGTGGAAAATCAGAAGTTCAAAACGAAAATCTCGCCAACATGAAGGTCATCTACAACACCCTGTTCAAGCGCACCTCCACCTACGCCGTGGCCATCATCGCGTCGGCCTTCTTCTTCGAGCGCGCCATCGATGTCACATCGACTACGATTTTCGAGAGCGTCAACAAAGGCGTAAGTACCAACCGCTTATGTAAGAGTAGATTCCTGGCCAAATATTGACTTTTCCCCCGTTTGCAGAAACTCTGGAAGGACATCAAGGGCAAATACGAATAAATCATAATGATTTGTTGTAATTAGCAATAATAATCAACGTTTATTCTAAACGAAACGAAAAGTAAACAGGGTTTCTCTGGGTTATTTAACCGATTTTGGGGGTACTGTATGTGCTAAGGATTCTTCGGTTATCTCCCAGGGCTTTTCGTGTCGCTGGGCATCCCAAGGCTGTGTGTTGGCCAGGCGGGAGGGCTCCTTGAAGGACACACCATTATCCTGGAGGGTTTGAAGCAGCTTCTGCAGCTTGCTACCAGGCACCGCCTCCGCGTTGCAGGTCATTTCAGTGATTCCCGACTGCAGGCAACGATGGGCCAGCACTCTGCCGAGGTTTACAAACGCCGCAGTATCGTTGGTCTTGTAGAGCTGCTGTTTTATGGCCCATTCCGAGGTGCTGGCACTTAGAATTGTTCCGTTTTGGAAGTGCTTCACATCGGCGCTGACATACCGACCACTGGTATTGATCTCTAGGGTGTGCCAATAGGATCGACCTGGTTTCTCCAGATGATAGCCACCCGGCTTGTAGGCAATGCGTAATCTCTCCAGATTCCTGGGATTCCGGTTAATCACGTATGCAGTGCTGTTTTGCGGCGTGCTCAGCTCCTTGATTTTGTGCAGGACACGGGCGGAGGTGAGGGGGCGGGCACTGCGAGACATATTTGCACTTAAAACCCTAAAAAAGTACACTTTTAATTAATATTTAAGAGGGGATTACAAAACCACAAAACCATACCAAAATATCCAGAGAGCAAGTGTTGGTTAGCGGCTGTATAAGGCAGTGCTGCAAAACGCAAACTCTCAGTTCGAGGTGAATGGCAACGACGAACAGCTGATTCAATCTTGTTTTCATTAAATTTCTAGTTTCTTTAGATTCTTTTGGCCCTGAGCACTTTCACCGCCTCCCCCAGAAACGACGACCCCCTTCAGACATGCGCCAAGTGGATCCGGCGTCCGCTGCCCGTACGCCCATGAGTTTGCTGCTGAGGTGAAGAAGTGGCGGTTGGGTGAAGCAAGCAGTGCGCGTCCCAAATTGCAAAGTGTATTATATTCTTTTCGGCCCACAAAAAGACGGTTATGTAAAGCGCGTAAAGCGCGCCAGCTAACTGCCCACATATCGTACTCAAGTAGTTAACAACTTTTCGTCATGTTGATGGTCGTGTGTTCCAGTTTAAGGCGTCCCGGGCACGTGGGCGCCGCATCCACCATGCGGAACCTTAATTGGATCCTTGGCGGAGGATATAGACCGCCGATCCAGGCATTGGCACGGGTGAGATAGATTAGTCCAATTAGCCATTAAATGATTTACCCAACAAAAATAAACAAAATCAGGCCATCGCTTTCTCTTGTCTTTCACCTCGTTCCAAAACACACCACGTCCCCACGCAACCGTAGGCGCGAAACTTTAAATGTGTTTGACCATTTGAAAACGGGTTATATCACTGTATGTAATAAATTACATTTAAAACAGAAACAATAACATTTTTAATAAATAACCAAACTTTAATTAATTTTACGAACACACGATTTTAAAATTTTTAAAAATGTATGTAAACAAGACATAGGCTTTCGAGTGTCCGAACTATTATATTTATTTTATCACATGTTATATTACTGCAAGTTTTAAATTTATATTTTAATTTTTAGAATATATAATACATACATCAAATTGTTTACTTTTTGTTTACTTAGAAGACAATGAAAATGTTTTTATCACTATGATCCAAGTTAATCAACTGATAAGGGTACTTTCACAATCGCGACCTCTCTTTCTATCGAAACTCACCACCGTGAGCCTAAAATCCAAATCACCACCGTTGGCGCCCAAATTCAAAAGCTTATCTTGTCAAGTAAAAGCAACGTGATCATTATTCACGGAAGCGCTTGGCTAAGCACTTTTGCTAACTGATAAAGATAGTTTCGCAATCTAGTCAGCCACTTGAATGTTGCGCACTCCCCTAGCGCCCTCTCTTTCGTGCCTTTTCTCTTTGTCTCTCTTTGTTTGGGGGCAACCGCCCTCGTTTTATGCGTGCTATACGTGCTTGTTGCACTTGCTGATTTGAGTGAAGACGAAATTCAGTTACGCTCGAAAGTTCCCGCCGTCCGGATGCGAAAGATTCTCAGGTGCCTAATGTAATATCTCGCGAACTGAGTGAAGGTCGCCTTGGATCTTTGAAGACGTGAGTTTTTCCTGCACTTTTCGCGCGACAATGCGCTTTTCCGCTGCACATTTCCAATGCGCATGCTGCTAACCTGTGGCACAAAGGCGGCTTTTCTGGGTGGAGGGGGGTGTGGATTATCCTAAATCTGACAACGGAAATACTCAAATGGAAATCAAAATGTGTAACCCAGAATGGCATCTGGGCGGACAAACAACACAAAAGGAATTTATTCTTGGGGCCGATAAGATTAAAGACTATCCATGGTTAGCAGCGGGATGTGTTTTGTGTATTAATTGTGACCGTCGGTAATCCAATTTCCCTTCTTATCTGGAACCCTCAGCACTACGTCCAAGCTCCGGAGGCCCGGCCAGTGGCCGATGAGCGGTTTTCGGCCAGCCAGCAGGATCGGAAGGATATCGCCACGCAGACCGAGCGGAGCAGCAAGCCCAAGGACCTGTTGCCTCCGCCGTCGACGTCGCCCACACCCACGCCCACGCCTCCCCTACCGCCCCCGATGTCCGACCGGAACGCTGATCCCGCCCTGGATGTGGGCCCCGGCGTGGCGGTGCCCTACAACATTGACTGGATATTCCCCAGACTGAGGAACCCCACGCGCTTCTGGTACATGGCCAGCCAGTTTGTCATCTCCGCCGTCGGAATCTTCAGCAAGATTGTGCTGAGTGAGTATCTATCCGGCAGAGCCGACCTTACCCAAAATCTGGCCCAAAGGCACGTTTATTTTTGGCCAAGAGAAGCATACGCTCGGAGAGCTAATGGCCCTGACCGTGACTGCCAATGCGAATCTCTTGATTGGTAAACGATGTGTGTGCGAATGCTGGCGATCTCGCCACGCTCATCGAGGTCAAACGTGTGCCGTGTTAATTGGTGCCTCTGCACAATTATGCAAATGCTGATCTCTCACCTCTCTATTTACGTACTGCAGTGTTCCTGAACAAAACCCGCGTCTACAACAAGGAACGATTGATCCAGATGATAGACAAGAGGCCGCAGGGCGTTCCGCTGGTCACCGTGTCCAACCACTACTCCTGCTTCGACGATCCCGGATTGTGGGGCATCCTGCCCCTGAGTCTTGTGTGCAACACCTACAAAATCCGCTGGTCGATGGCCGCCCACGACATCTGCTTCACCAACAAGCGGCACGCGCTCTTCTTCATGTTTGGTGAGTCTGCTAGGACTAGGATTCAGAACGATTGGACGAATGGGGAAAATATTGTAGCAGGGACCGTAATCATTATAAGTTTTATTTTAAAAATCACGAATCAAAAAATGAAAATTATTATTTTTAATACAAAAAAAAAAACCTTAAAAATAATACACTTGCAGAGAGAATTAAAATGAATGAGAAATTTTAATTTAAAAATCTTTGAGGAAATGGATAGATTGACTTTTTTTTATATATGTAAGTTATTTGCAGTCCCTGGAAAATATAGTTTTAAAAGGTTTAATAAAAATAAACGTAGTATTTTGTATTTATATCTTACCTATTTTGATTTAATTAATTTTATTATATCTCCCTAAAAATAAAGCCTTAGGCTTTTCTCAAGATTTATGTACTTTGCCATTACAAGTCAATTTTTTAAGTTACAATAACGGAAATAAGTTTTTCTCTTAAACACTATTAAAATAAATAGATAAAGAATAAAGTATATTTAAAGTCGTGATTTAGATTATGTTTAAATAGAGTTGGCTAAATTTCTGACTATAAAATACAAAGAAATTGCTTATAACATAATTTCCTTACTATTCACAGGCAAGTGCATACCTGTTGTGCGGGGCATCGGTGTCTACCAGGAGGCCATCAACCTGTGCATCGAAAAAGCCGCTCTGGGCCACTGGATCCATGTGTTTCCGGAGGGCAAGGTCAACATGGAGAAGGAGGAGCTGCGGCTGAAGTGGGGCGTGGGTAGGATCATCTACGAATCGCCCAAGGTCCCCATCATTCTGCCCATGTGGCACGAGGGCATGGACGACCTGCTGCCCAATGTGGAGCCCTATGTGATACAGCGGCACAAGAATGTCACCGTCAATGTGGGTCAGCCCTTGGACCTCAACGACTTTGTGCTGGACCTGAAAAAGCGGCAAGTGCCGGAGCCCACGGCGCGGAAGCTAATCACAGACAAAATTCAGGAAGCCTTTCGGGTGAGCTGGACTTGAACATATTTTCCAAATCGGAATTCTAATAAATTGAAATTTATTATTACAGGGCTTGCGGGCGGAGACCGAGAAATTGCATAGAGATCGCGACTAGCAAATCACCATGGAATAGTCTTGCGGCAGATATTCGTTATAATATTTATTTGTATAGTATTAAGCCTAAAATGAACCCTCGAAAGCCTTTGCAGTCCATTTATTATAATTCTATTTTCGTGTATTATGGTTATTTCATCAGGATGTAGTTGCCGGAGAGGCAATTTAAGTGAGTCAGCGTGCATTATTAGTGTAAATATACAAATGATATTACTCCAAGCAGAGGGAATAAAATGGCTGATAAAATAAAAAATGTATCTTGAATTTTATTTTGTAAATAGATTTTGAAAGGGGCCATGAAATACGATGAATATCGTTTTGCATATATAATTTAAAATATTGGCAACTTTATCCAACAGCTGTTTGAAAATTCACCGTTAGAAGGTCGGCAAAAATGTAGGCCATGTGGATTATTATATTTATTTAAATACAATTTAACTGCAAACAATTTTAGGTCACTTTCAGTTGGCAGAAAGATGGGGGAGCTTCTGCTGAACACCCCGAAAAGGAAGCAATTACTCAAGGATGGCCCACCGGTGCCCACTAGGTGCCAAATTCTGGGACGTGGTGCCTATGGCACGGTTTTCAAAGCTATTTATCGGGGTAAGTCTGTGAACTATAATGTGCATATAAAAACTTAAATATCTGGTGCAGATCGCTCTGTTGCTGTTAAGATCATTCGAGCCCAGGCGGCCTCAACTTTGCATAATGAATCGCATTTGCAAAACTTGGAGCACAGGAACATAGTCCGCCTACTGAAACTGGAATCCGCAGCAGATTTCGGATTGGTCATCATGGAATGTCCCAGGGGACAATGTTTGCAGAGGATCGTAGACACCATAGCTCTACCACTTGTCCATAGGATTGTGTATGATCCTTTTTTTTCTGTTTTAAATTTTACATTTAACTAACCCATTTATTTCCTAGAATCACTTTGGATGTGGTTGCCGCTCTGAGATACTGTCATTCCCAGAATGTACTACATCTGGATGTAAAGCCAACCAATATATTGGTTGACCTGGGAACAAGGTCCTCAGGGGTGGGCAATGCACATACGTTCAAACGTAGCTACATCTGCAAGCTCTGTGACTTTGGCTCCTCCATGGAGATGGGCGAATTTGGTGGCAGACAGCACCCGATCAGAGCCAATGGAACCCTGAGATACATGTCTCCAGAAGTGCTGCGATCAGACTTTCTATCCGAAGCCTCCGATATCTACTCCCTGGGCATAACCATGTGGCAGTTGCAAGCCCGCAAATTGCCCTACCACGCACTCGATTGCAATGAGACCATAGCCTACCAGGTGGTTAAGCACGAACTACGGCCGGATAGCTATCACCAGTTAAAGATTCTAGCTTTGGACTCGCCCAGCGATTGCAACTACGTCGGTGAAAACATCTACAAAAGAACAAATTCCTCTGGGCGTCGTAATCTAAGCCTCGATCCATCTTACACCGCCGGCAGTGATCTGAAAAAGAAACGCCGCCAGAATCGATTAGCACTCCACTTCGATTGTCCGGCGCCAGAGGCGAGTGCGTGCCTCGAGAACGCTTACTCCAAACTATACAAAAGCTGCTGGGTCAGCGCCCCGGAATCACGTTTGAGTTCTTTCCAGCTGAAGCATGAACTGGAGCTCATTCTTGGCCGCACTACCACCTCCAGCACCATTAGCACCACTTAGATTTTAAGCGATCGTGTTTGTTTGGATTTTATGTAATTGATTAGTATATAAACCTACATATTTATGTAAGATTTTACCAACGCTCCGCGATAATCGTTTTAGAGGCGAGGCCACTGGTTGGTTAGGTCAATAATTTATGTAACTTCTGTAACTTCTTTTTGTTTATTTTGTACTTGCTACGCTAAGAAAATACATACATTTATAATGTTTATACGAGCTTACATCTATGTTCCCTCCTCGATCATAGTGCGTTCTGTTCTATATAGTGTAGGTCTATGCTTAGGAATCGGGCTGCTGCGATAAATTAGTCGGTTGCAGCAGCCCCTGAGGAGCTAACTACGATTTGAAGAAGAGCTTTGTCATTAGCTTGAACGACTGATATTTACAGTTTATTGTTATGGTTGTCGTATATAATGTTCGCTTAGAAACCGTCTATATATATATATATATCGTTCTATAGTATATGCATTCTATACTTTGACATATTTCACCCTTAAATGCAAGTGTTCAACTGCTGCTGTGTGTGTGTGTGTGTGTGTGAGGAGCTACTAACTCGGCTTAGTTTATGTGGCCTACATGTCCATGTCCCACAAATACACTCGATTTGTGCGGAAGACTACAGTTGTGGTTCATCTACTCATGACCATAGCTAATAGTGGCTTGAATTCAGTTTGAAGTCAATCAAATTGTCCCATTGTATGAAAGTTATGTATAACCTACTGATTTGGATGCTGCAACCGCTGCTCTACAAAATATATGGGTATAGAGCAGGGCGAGCCTTTCGGTTTCTCTTCTGTATTTTTTCTTTTCTAGGGGGAACAGTTGGCAGTGCCGCTTACAAGGTAAAACATCTTCCAAAAAATTTACAATATACATAAATACTCGTATTCGTACGTACAAAACTCGCTGGCTCCTCCGCCATCAACTTAATGCTTCTCTGTATGTGCCTATTCTGTTCTGTTCTCCTCTGATTTCTTTCGTTTTGTTTTCTTTTGTTTGAATATATCACAATTTAGTCTTTTTAAATCTTTAAATATTTGTTAGCTTGACGATTATTGATTTGAGATTTAGCAGTGGTGTACCCTAACTGGCGTAGGATCGTCGCACGGGAACTGGTGGAGGAATTTTCGACTTTCGCTGCTGGTTTTGTTGGCCGGGCGACTTCTGTTGGGGCGACTGCGGCGAGGGGGAGGAGGGCGAGGGCGAGCAGGAGGAGGACATCGAGGAGGACGAGGACACCGACGAATGGATGCTCGTTGGAATTCTGGTGGGCTGCGCCTTGGGCAGGCAACTCTTTGGCGGCTCCGTTGACTTGGCTTGCTTCTACAAATTGAATTGGGTGAATAAAATGAATATTTGATGTAATCATTTCGACTTAAACGTCTTACCTTCTTGGGCGTTGCAGCCGCAGGTGGATGCACTGGCGAGGTGACCCTTTTCCAGCCATTACTTCTGCGCCACGAGCTGGCCGTGGGCGGCGTGGAGGCCTGCCTGAGCAGCATGCGCTCCTTCAGCTTGGTCACCATTCCGGGCGCCGGGGGAATCACCTCCTTGGCCAACTTTGCCATCATGGCACAGCTGATGCTGTCGCTGCGCACCACCGTGGACTCGAGTTCGCGGCGTTGATTGTGGCGCAGGATGCAGCTGGGCTCCTGCTCCTCGAGCACCGATTTCGATTTGACCAGGACGTGCGGCGGCCGACGTAGTTCGCTCTTGATGATCTGGGCAATGCACTGCTGCTCATCCAGTGGCTTCATGGGCGTGCTGCTCACAATCATGGGCACATCCTCGATTTCTATGTCGCTGACCCTTCGTCGACACTCATCGATTACCGCGTAATCGGGTTCCTCGTCCTTTTTCACCTGACTGCCGGAGAGCTCGTCCGTTTCGCTGGAGGAGCAGCTCGTGAGCTGGGCCCTTCCCGCCTCGCTGGGCGTGGGACTGCCGCCTGCCGTTCGTCCTGCCGGACCCACCTGGCTCTCTGACATGCTGGAATCCTCGCCTTCCTCGTCGTCCTCGTCCTCGTCATCCGTCTCACCCTCGAGATAGGAATACAGACTGCGCGAGGAGTTGGAGCGTATGTTGACCAGTTTGTAGAAGTCGTTGGTGAAGTCGGTGCAGGCCACCTCCTCGTCCTCGGAGTACACAATCTATTGATTTGGAGTGGTCATAAGTAAGAATGTAGGCAAAATTCGGTTGTATAACCTACCTTCTGCTGCAGCAGCTGGGCAATGCCATCGGCCACCGAATCCGTTTCCACGGTGGTGGAGTTGATGAAGTCACTCGATGGCCACAGCCAGTCGTGATCCCGCTTCCGGCGTTGCTGCTGCGCATGCTGCAGGTGGTGCATATGATGCTGGTCCCGCTCGTCGTCGAAGGTCATCACCGCCAGTTCCTCCTGCGACATGCTCCAGTCCTCCATTTCGGTGGAGCAGGGCTCAGCGGGTAGTAGCCATTGCTCCGGTTCCTCGGGCAGATCCTCCAAATGGCCGTTCGACGGTTGCGGTTGTCCACTGCTCATGGTGCAGTATCCCTCGTCCCTGCCCTTCACCGGACTGGCGGACAGGGCCGCATTCTGGGCCTCCAGATCCCGTACCCTGCCCTTCAGCATGGTCACCTCCTCTCGGAGATTATCCTCAGCCACAATGGCATCCACCACCTTGCGCATCACATCGTCCAAACAGTGCTCATACTGCCGGATACGGGTGAGCAGGGATCGATTCTCCTGCTGCATCGATTGCAGCAGGCTCTCCTGCCGGGCAAAGCGAGTCTGTAAAATAATAAACAACAATTATAATAACTTCTAAAAACTATTTTGCAATATGGCATAGCATATTTTGTTTTACTATCACACATTCTGTACTATAATGATTTTTGTTTTCACTAGATAAGTTCATTGATAAAAATCTTGCATATCTAGCTTTGTTATCTCTAGAGTAGTGTTGGTTGAAGATAAGTTGTAAATGTCAACATATGAGTTGTAACACCTTATCTATTAAAAGGGGAGTGCCAGAAATTTATGGATATATACAATTCATAGTGCTTGTGTCTAAAAATATGTCGTTATTTGTTTTGATAACCAACTTAGATGATACAATTTATATTTATTTTAGAGAGTATCCATGTTCTCATTTTCTATAGCTTACAATTTTTAAGATTAACGTGCGAATGACTGATAAGTTATATTTTTTCAATTTAATGGTTTCAAATTGCTCATAAACAATTGTTACTAATGTCTAGGAAGGGTAAACTATACCTTTTGGTATAAATTGGTGTTGAACAGAGCTAAAAACGATCTGTACTGTGAAAACCTTTTTTAAGAAAGGGCTAACTGATTAGATCGAGTATTTATCAATTGCCGGGGGCCAGGGCAACGGCAACCTTCGCCCCTGACAGCTGGCCTGATGAGGGTCACACACTGGCACACGGCTCCTCATCCATCAACCGGCTCTTTTTGTCTGTAAGTGCTAAGTGAGCAGTAGTTACAAGACCCCATACCCCATACCCCATCCCACACTCTAGCCACTCTAGAGATCCCAACGTGTAACAAATATCCAATCTCGATCAAAGCCAACTTGTTAACTGTCCCGAAGGTCACAACTTGCAGCCGTTGGACGTGGAAACCTTGAGCTTCATTAGCGGGCCCTTACAAGATTGGGTGAGCTTCGGCTGGCGGGGCCGAATGAGATTGCCAGAAGTTAACGACGAAAGGGAAAGCATTTTCCATTTTACCCGGAAAATGGTAATGAAAAGCTGCCACTGGGGCGCAGTGAAGCGTCTCTAATGCCGACGCTCAATCAATTCGGGCAAAAAATGTGCCATCCCAGAAACCATTTGCCAACAAAGTCTCGCCGCCGACTCCAGTTACTCCGTCCGGATAAGAGACAATTTGTATGCGCCGGAATGGCAGCAAGGGGAGGGATTGTTCTTAAAAATGAATTTATGCGTTTATTTATGACTTGACTCGGAGGGAGCTCTCCTTACTCCCCACTCCCCACTCCCCACTCCCAACTTCGTTTTCACAAGGAAACTCGCGCTGTGCAAATTGATTTTCCACATGCTGCGCGGCTCCGTGCGGAAAAGCCCCTTGCCCTTCGCACCTCGCCCATTTCCCATTTAGCATTTATCATGCCCATCCGATACATACCTGCAGTGCCTTGTGATCCCGACATGTCTGCATTTGCTTGCGTTCTTTGGATTTCATAATGCGATTCATGCTGCGGATGCCGAGGGAAAGCGAAAAAAAAGAGGACAAATATAGAAATGCATAAATGAAAACGAGTTGCAAAAATCATCGCAAACGTGGGGCGCTTTCAGCAGAGAACTCCGAGTATTGATTACTTGTTTACGAGCGATTGAATGGAAATATGATTTCATTGTATTGATTGTAACAAAAAGCGAGACGAAATGTTCTGGCCCTAAGGGAACTTTAAAATCTATTCAAATATTTATCATGGAAACTAATTGAATAAGTTTATAAAAGCATAAGACTGTCTTCCACAGAAAGTAATCAATCCAAATATAAAATACTGTGAATACATAATACATAACAATTATATATTTTAAATTATTTAATGAGTCAAGAAAATTGAGTATTTATAAGATATGAATTTCTGATTCATGTATAAATATTTTCGCAAAAAACAATAAATTAAACTTTAGTCATAATAAAATTAAATGTAGCTAAGAATTTTCATAATCGTAAATTCAAGACTCTTCTTTTATGTTAGTTTCAATTTTCATGGATATATTTAATAACATAAAATATAAGCTGCTGTGTTGTAAAAGTAATATTGAAAACACAAAAACCTTAAATAAGCAATCAATATTCGAATTGCCTGCTGAATTGTGTTGTTGAAGAAACGTTTGCATAAACAATGTACATTGAAATTAGCAGCTAATGGTGGTCATAAAGAAAGAAAGGTCCGAAAGAGGAGTTAAATCTCGGCCTAGACCAGAACTTTGCACCATTTCCAAATCCCCAAATCGCGGTAATTACGTATTCGGGCCGGCAGAGGGCGCTGCTGAGGGTTCGGTGATTGATGGGTTTCGCTGGTAAAGAGCTTCCTTCTTCCTTCTTCGTTCTGCGTTCTGCGTTCCTCGTTCTCCAACTCCTCCGATTCTTGGCAATTTGGAAAATTGCATTCGCTGTGCCGTTCCGTTAACTTGTTCTGTGCGTAATGGCCAAGAGGGCGTCGTGGCTCCAAAAGGGGGCGTGGCCAGTCACGAGTCTTGGTATGAGTTATTTACGTACGATTTGCCAAAAGCAGCGCGAAAACTACTCCAAAATTGCCGGCTAGGCAGATTAAATAAATATTTGGCCGGTACTGGCAGTAACGCAAATGGAGCCTTGCTTTAGTAACGGAAATGCGCAAGTTCTGGTTTATAGTCTAGTGTCCACCCTCTACCCTCTTTCTTTACTTCCCACACACTCGGCTGGTGTTGTCGTTATCGCGTTAAACAATTTAAGTTATTTGTCACTTACTTCTCAATTTGTTCGCGCAATTCCTTCTCGAACGTTGGCGACCCGCATTGGCTCTGAAAAAGTGCAATTGACCAGGGCACGAAAAAAAAGAAGAAATGGGAAAAATAACATTAAATAAAATGCGAAAGAAATTAAACACAATGAATTAGTGCACTCGACGCTGATTAAGAACGACAATTTAATTGTCCATATCACAGTGCCAATCAGCAGCGTTTTACAAGCTAATGGACAGCGACAAAGGAGCCGAAACGCGGGATTGGGAATTCGAAGGCGTCGGGGATGGCACGATGGCATGATGGCATTACTGGTGTATTAGAACAACCTAGAACGCGGATGCGATGCATGCAACGCCATAAATCACCGGAGTCAACAACACCCTCCAGACCCCGGCTTTATTTTCTCCACACTTTTGCCCCCCCCCGCGTCAACTGTAATCGATAAAAAATTACATCACGACTTTTTCATCTGTGTGACGTGACGATAAAACACATCCAGACACTTTGTTATAAATTATTTGCCTTAGTGCTAACAAAATGAATGACAACAGCCACAACATTTACAGATTCGAGTGTAAATGAAACGCTGAATATCGAACTGTTGAAGTGCCAACACAAGTCTGAGATTACGGCACAAACAAATAAGTTTACACATATGTACATGTACATGTATAGTAGTAGATAAAGATAAGAGTCGATTCTGTTTGCTTAGTCGAGAGTTTTCTAAAGCACCAACCCCTTGTGCAAACTTCCTTGTGGCTTGTGAGGTGAATAGCTGCCCCCGGCTATTAATCAATTTAATTATGCAAGAGACCTGCTTCAGATTCCCAAAATTCCCGGTAGTAAGAACTCTGCGTTTTACTCCACTTGGCTACGAATTCCTGGGCTGTGCTGCATGTCTTTGCTGCTCCCCCTAATTTTTACACATAAAAAAAAACAGTTTACTTAGAAAAATCAGTTTAAAAGCTGAATTTTAATTGTAATCCGATTCTACAAACTATAATTACAATAAATAATTTAACAGTTTTGAAAAATATTGAAGTGTATAATATTTTTACCGAAAATTTTAAAGAAGTTTAAGTTTAGTTTTGCTAGTCAAATATTTATGTAAAAAATTAAATTTTCTTGAATTTATTTCGTTGTTAACAAAATGATATGAATAGATTCAGATGGTTTGTAATATAAATTTAATTTCATTCTAAATTTCTTTGTTGTGTAGTGAACTATGTCGAAAACGCTTTCATCTGCAACAGCAGCCAAAGAAAGGGAGCCATAATAAAATGGAGTGGGAGTGGGAGCAGCGGGAGCGATAAAACGCAGCAGCACGCGCCAATAAAGAAGTCGCCCAGCAACCGTCTCCCTCCCAACAACCACCCCCTCATTACACCCCTTGGCCGCCCGTTAAAGAGGCACCCGGAATTACAAATATATATGCAATAATTTTTATTAATTCGTCTTCATGCATGGGACGAGGATGCCGATATGAAAATGCCCCCTTGCTGGAAAATTGGAGGCAACAGCAGGCGGCAGCCGTCGAAAAGGGCGGGGAAGCGGGGAAGTCGGGGGCCAGAGGCGAAAAACGGGGATCCCCAGACTGATTGCCGTCCTCAGGCGCCACTTGTGCCGTCGAATGGCAAGGAATGATGAACGTGTTAATAAAATTAGAGAGCCAAAGCGTTTGGACCACTCGCAGGCCCCCTTTTTTCCCACCCAAGACGCTATTTCGGGCAACTGGTGCGCCTGTCGACAGCTGTTGGCCACTGCACCACCCAACCACCCAACCACCCCACTTTTCCCCCACCACTGCCTTACATTTCCCATTCAAGAGACGACGCGCATAAATATTCATTGTGAATTTCCCTCATAAAAGCGAGGGAGTAAAAGTGGTGCCGACAGCGGAGCTTATTGATGAAGTTATAAAATCAGACATGAATTCTTTATTAATTAATCGAAACCCACAGCGAACGAAACTTTTGGCTACCAAGGTAGCCAGAAGAGTTCAAAAACGAAACTCCGCACAGGTTTCAATTAGCATGCGGCTTGCAACACGCCGAGGGTGGCCCAAAAAATGATTTAAGGGGTTCAGCGAATACGAAAAAACCCGATGCCCAACCCAAAACAGAAATTAACAAAACAAATCCCGGCAACATGTTGCACCCGTGTCGTGTCCTGGGGATAAAAAGAGCCAACCTGCCGGAGGAGTGGGCGAATCGAAGGCTCTGCGAAGGGTGGCACATCATCCGGCCATTTGCACCCGCAAACGCACTTCCGTAAGATGTCCGGACCACCCCTCAGACTTAAGCTTTAATTTACACAGGGAAAACCAAAACAAAATCACTCGAAGGCTTAACTTATTATAAATAAACCAGTAGTAAAACCAGTAAGACCGTTTTTTCTAGCATGTTCTAGAAGTTCGGATTGGAACAATTTTAAATTGATATTCGGAGAAATCTAATTAGATTACGGTACAAGTAAAACACAAAGTAAGTTGACATGAAAGCCATTTTAAAATACTTATTAGTATAAATCATTCCTAAATTATTATTAGATAGTTAAGAAACCGCTTTTGAAGTACTATTACTATTAATATTTGTATGTTTCTCTTCGTTTTTTGTTTTTCTAAGCCCTTTCATTCCTCGAATATAACAAGACTTATTTTCTGTGTAAAAATAACAAGACAACAAATTGTTAAATATTTGTTCTTTGAGCTAACCCCCATTTGCCATGTCCTATGCCATAAAAATCATCCATTGTCCTGACGGCTGAGCTTATCAAAAGGGAAAATTCCAAGCGTGGGCTTAACGATCGGTCTAAAATCGTAGTAGGGATTAACATGAACCCCTGTTTGTTAGCAAGGGGGAAAATATGAACACGCTTATTATTAATTAACATGCAGATTGAACGGCGGGTGGCCGTCTTCCATTTTGAAAGTTTAAAATCCTCCACAACTCCCCCCTATTGATTCTTACCATTCTTACTCCTTGTTATTGTTACAGTTTATTCCATTCCAAATGAGATTACTCTGGTGATTCCCTGAGTTGGTTTTTTTCTTACTGGTGCACAAACTTTGGAAAACTTTGGAGACCACAAAACCGTTAAAATAACAAGCCAAGTTGAAGTCCGAAAAAGCGTCTGACTGAAGAGTAAATGGGAAGGGAATGGTGACTGTCCCCAAAGATGAATAAATTTGGGCACAAAGAAAACAACGTAGCTCAAATTAGAAAAGATATAATTTTCAGGAAGGCAAAAGAAAAAAAATGTTTAAAAAAACACGCGACCGATGGCGAACATTTGCGTTACTCCCGAAAGCCGGCGAATCAATGATAAAAAGGACATAAATGAGCAAGGAACTGGGAAAACAACCCTCCCGTTGGAGTTTAGGTGAAAAACAAGAGAGAGGGAGAGAAAGAGAGAGAGACTGGCGAATTCGCCGCATTTCTATAAGAGAACAGCTGCTGGGAACCAGCTTTCGCCCCCCCTCCCGCTTTCTCCACCCACTTCGATCAGCTGCAACAGCCGGCACAACAACACTGTCTTCTCTCTCCCCAAAAAGCCGATGTTTTTTGATGTATTACTCCGAACTGGAATACTCGAATTGGCCGTTTTTAATTTAATGAACCGCGACCGTGGGAGTGGAAGGGAGATGAGAAAACAATAAAATAAACATTTCGCAGATGCGAGGCAGAAGACCAACCCTATACATATCTATATACTGAACTGGTGGTGATCCGTTCACATGGTGAATTTCTCGTCCGATGCGTCAAATGCAAACACTAAAACGTCACTTGAGCAAGACGAAAAGGGAAGTTAAAAAAAGTATACACAGGAAAATAAATCACCCATTTGATTAATTTATCATAAAATTAAAAACAAATTGATTGCCTTTTTTATATTTCACATTATATTTTCAAAACATGGGACAACAATTAACTTTAACTTATCTATTATGTGTTTTGCATACCTCTTGATTATTTTTTCTGTCTATAAAAAAAGTTTGAATATTTTCATTATATGTCCGTTATATAGTTATTGCAAATTTATCACCCTGAAAATTTACAATATCTATAGTGCTTTTCATTGGCATTTTCTCTGTGTGCAAATGAGCGAGTGGAAGCTATTCCCTTCCCCGAAAAAGTTTCGCGAAAAATTAATTGCATTGCACTTTTTTGTCAAGGGGCTCTGAAACGACCTCCCCATATGCCGTATAGTGGTGGTAGTTCTGAAATTCTCTTCAGGTTTGAGGGGGCGTATGAATCATCAAGTTGGCTTTAGATTTAGCTTTAAAAAACTGAATGAGGATCCTGGGGGTAAACGTTAAAAGGGTGGCTTTCTCTGCATTAACGGCGACTAGCATTAAGTATGTGCAACAATATTACACTCCAGAGTGCTCTGACCTACCCCAAATTTATGGCTATATATTCAGTTATGTACATAACTCTAGTTCCGGACTGGGCGCCACTGATGGGTGGTTGCAATCGGACTGGGAATGGCTATAGGTGGTGCTGCAGCAACTTCGGCGGTGGTGCCTTCATTTCCGAGTGAGTAAACCATCAAACGCTTGCGACAAAATTATTAGCAATTCAAAAGCAGAAGAAGAAGACTCTGAATGATGATGATGATGATGATGATGATGAGAGGGACGAAGGAACCCTCTTCCGATGTGGATAATAAAAAGTGCTCATGCTGCGACTTCTCTCCTTCATCTTGAGCCCGCCCCCCACTTCTCACCACTTCGATGGCTCTTGTAAGCGAACCAAGTGCCACTCAAGAGACATCGTCCGAGACCAGGACCACGCCCCCTTCTTGACAGTTGACAGCGACAGTTTTTCTTTTGCCTCCTTTGCTTTGCTCCATTACAGTGGAACCTCTGCAAACGATCCGCTCAACGATGGTTTGAATCTACAAACTACAATTTTACGAAACGTAATTAAAAAATCCACGAAATAGAAATCTTTTCAAACACATTTGAGCAATTCATCAGAACAAATTTCAACTGACTTTTGTTAAAAGAATAAGGTTTTTTTTATAAAATCTAAACAGAAATCTCTTTATTTTGTTATTTTGATCTGACTTTTCAAAATAGAATTTCTAATCTCCTTATAAAATCGTATATATATACAGTAATTTTATTATTAAGTATATAGGTTTTCAATGAAATGTATTAAGATAATAAAGAAAAGTTTGTAGTAATTGCCTTTTTTAAAAAAATTGTTTTAATCCAAATAATTTTAACGTTACAGTTTAAGTAAAACATAAAATATTTTGTAAACAAAAATAAATTTCCTGAGCTAAACTTGTGATAGCTTGACTGTATTCTGTATTCTCCTTGCCCCATTCACTCCAGCTCTCCATTTTCTTAAACTGAATGCAGCTGAGCTTATTAAAGGCGCAGATTTCCAAGGGCAACAAGGGGAGTGGGAGGAGGAAGCGAGGGTGGCAAAGAGATGACTGGAGGGGCTGGACCTCCATTGGAATTAAAAATTAAGCACGTGCTGTTGGCGAAAGTTGTGCATTGTGCATCCCTTCTCTCTTCTCTCTTCTTCCTTCTCCCGTTTCCCTGTTTCTCTTCTGATGCCCCTAAGTCAACTTTTCATTAGCACATGCCAATCCATTCAGATTCGGCTTGTTGATCTGTCGCCTGATTAAAGGCAAACAAATAAACAAAACTTCCGTTTAGTCATCTGCCTCTTCCATTTGTTTGCCAGCATTTCGTACAACAAACACAAATATTTGAGGGGACAAAGGATTAAATGTCGTGTTGCCATGTGCTTTAACTTTACGGACAAGGGCTCAGCTGTTGTAACAAGAAAGAAATTGGTAAAAAACGGCAACTGTCAGCAATTTGAGCAGGATGAAGATGGAAGACTTGAAAGCGGAAACCTATAGCTATAGCAACGAAAGTTAGGGGGCTAAAACCCTTTGAAGGACGTCTTTCTTATCAATTAAGAGACCATAATCGCAGGGTTCTCGGCCTGGAAATCAATTACACTAAAGTAAACCCACACTCTCCTTTCCACCGAATAAGAAACAGATGAGAATGATGATGAAAGTGGGTCTGGGAATGAGAATGACGATGATGGGGATAGCATGCCGAATCGGAAGATGGATATTCATTGAATCGTGCCATTTATTGCATGCGACATGGCCAACAGGCTGTCTAAGTCCGCCCCTTAACCCCCATTTCTCCTCTCTTCTGCCAATTTTAGCCTCGGGAGCCGAAAAAGAATTCTGCAACATTCACACTTTTGGTGGCCCGACTTGTCAATGGATTGCCAACTCCCGCTCCTCTTTTCACTTGGAAAAAACTTGACCTTTTCGAAATGTTTACAAGCATTGGAGTATTAAAATAGTAACATTATTAAACTACCAATGTGTACAGCGAGACAATTGACCAATTAATACACAAGTTTAATTTAAATTATTTAACCGTAAAGATTTAATTTGATAGCGAGGTTAAGGTAGAGGCTCCAGTATTAACTTCCTGTTGAATTTAATATTTGTTGAGCTTATAGCTATCATTTCAATATTTTTTTTTATATCCAAATGTTCAAAAATGGCATTTTTATTTTTTGTAAATATTAAGATATCAATGACATGTAAAATATTTTTTTTTCAGTGCATTCTTCTCCCACTTCCTTTGAGCCACTGATATGCCAATAACAATAAAGTACACATACAGCCGCATTGTGGGGGAGAGACTTTGACTAAGTGAAATCGAAGGACAGTGGCAAAGGCAAAAGCAAACGCCAAACCAAAAGCAAAAGCAACGAAAAACGCAAAGGCAGCTGAGGGAGCAGCGAGCATAGTTAATCGTTATTTACAGGCAGATAAAGTGCAGAAATATTGCCAAAGGAGCTGGAAGTTGGGACAGTGGCAACGGTAGCTCATGTATCCACTCCGCCCACTTCCTCCACTCCTTTCAAAACTCCTTGTGGTGCAAAAAAAAAAAAAAACAGCGTCCGCATATGCCCATGCACTTGGAAAAATAATTTTTTACATTTTGAATACTTCTAAAAAACTCTCTATCAAAACAATTGACCCTGGAGTAGAAAACTTTATGTTAATTATAATATATTTGGCTAATAAAATACCAGAAGCGTATCAAAAATGTATTATTAAATATATATTTTAAATGGGTAAATACATATCGTTTATCTGTACAACATACATTTTAAATGAGCATGATATGAATATGTTTATGTTTTAGTTAAATTTGATAAAATAAATAAAAAGTATGGTGTAACTTAATGGTTAAAATGTCAGTGGAAAAAGTCCTAACTATTTTTTTCCGAGTGCCGTAATCGGATTCCCATGCATGGACCACGCTCATAGCCTGGCGAGATGATAAGGCGAAGAATGGGAAGTCGGGGGCAACTGCCACTGCCACACTCGTAAATTCTGCTGCGAGCTGGGCCGCCTGCCAAAAGTATAGGAAATCAGGCAATGGCCAGAACGAGAACGGGCCAAAACAGAGCAGAAAACACTTTTCCACTTTTCCTCTCGACGCGTTTTGTCTCCGCCGCTTCCTGTGAAAATCAAGAACAGCAGGCGGCGGGTGGCCATTTGGCTGCGGAAATCATTGGCCAAAAAATGGGTGTGGGCGTGGAATGGATGCCGCACGCTGCTCCTTTTCACACCATAAACTCCAAGCAGTTAACTCGTTTTCGGGGCACTGGCTCGTTCTTCTATTTATTTTTTTGTTATCAAATTCAATTACCTAAAGCCGGAAATGCGTATGCCAAGCCGAGCTCCTTCCGCCGGAAAGTTCCGGCCATTAAACTTTCTTTCGGGCCGACAGGGGGCATCCTCCGGCCATTGTGATGACAGTTTAGATTGTGATTTGCCATTGAAAGGGCTTTGATCGAGTGGACCGAAGGTAATAAACAGCGGAATTTCCTATGCCCAGTTTTTCTAAGACGTATTTTATGAGAGTTTATGTTGGTCAATTTGCATGGACGTTTTCGCAAATGTCACTACTAGAAAGTTTGAGTATGCATTATTAGCCATATTTGCATTCAGTTCATTGGCTAAAAGGCTCTCATAAGTATGGATTTTAAATCATCTATGATAAAATGATAATTCAATTTATTTTATAAGTATAAACAAACTTATTGAGTGTTGCAAACAACTTCAAAGGCAAATAACTTTCAATACTTTCCTAATATCTTAAAGAAATATAATATGGATATGATGATATGAGAAAATACTGGGCACATTGCTAGAAATTTGTAACATACAAGTAGATATATTAATTTAATTAAAAAGGATATATTCAGAGCTCAGAACACTATAGTTTTAATCCAACTAACTTTCATTTATTAATAAAACAGTTTATTTTACGTAACTGAGAAAATAAATTTAGTTATTTAAGCCTCTTTAAATCGAATTTACTGGTTTGTCCCAAATATGTTGAACTTGATATGGGCGTTCAGAATAGTCCTATTTTTATGGGACATTTTGCCTTTAACTCTCCAGTCGGATAATTTGATGTTGGTACATATGCATGTAATTTAAGCTTGTAACTTTTAATTGCCCATCCAGGCGACCTTGTTGGCCAGCAAGACCGCATTAACCGCACAGAGCGCAAACGACTGAACACGATTAATGACCCCCATGTCCATCTGAACCCCGCCCAAAGACCCAGTCCCGAAACAAAATCTCTCACACGCTGACCGCACAGGAAATTAAAATGCTTTGGGAACGGGCCGAAATCCCAACTCCGGCGACATCAAATTCAAAGTTCATTTCGAGAGCAATGTCCGGGCTGGGTAATAACGTCTCAACTTCGCAGGGGGCAGGAGATGGAAATGGAAATGGACATGGATAGATGCGAATGTATAGATACATTTCCGTAGGAGTACTCACTTTCTGGAACTGCTCCTGCAAACGCAGCAGAGCGCCTTCAACTTCAATCATCCGCTTCTCCAACACATCCTGCAAGAACAACAAAACAGAAAAACCAAAAACTCAGGAAGCAGCGCAAGAAGGCTAAATGCTACGGCTAATTTCCCAAAAACGAAAAGTTAAAGCTAGCTGAATATGTGCATGGGTGTTTTTCTTCAATTTTCCGTGTATATGTGGCCAGTGAACCAATGAAGTTTGTGAGTGCGAGTGTGAGTGTGAGTGGGGTTTGTGTTTGTGTTTGTAAGCGATTTTAGTGCTGCCCAGAAGCTTTACTTTCTAGTTTAAAAAAAAAAGTAATTGCTTAAGCTAACGTTATATTTTAAATATACATTTTTGGATCAAAAATATTTATAACTTTGTATTGTTTTTTAGATTACTGTATTATATAGAAAAACCATAGCATTAGTAACCCACATCATTAATAAATACTGTCTTTCTTGCTGTGTTGTTTAAACCTATGAGCTGTTTATTGCCTCAAGTTAGTAACATTTCAGTGTAAGCCCACAATTTCTTTATAGTTTGAGTCAAACATTAGAACTTGACCCTGAGAACTTCCACTAATTTGCAAACTTTTAAGATTAACTACAGCTCCAAAGTGTCTTATTTATCACCTGTTATAAAGAGATACTTTTTACTATATTCTAGCTATTATTTCAAGTTACAGCACTGTTGGCGGCAAAGTGAGAAAAATAATTATAACAGCTCAAAAAAAAAAAAGAAAAGCAATTGAAATTAATTTACGATCTTGTCACCGCAACGAAAACAGAAAACAGATTCGAGGTGTAAAAAGCAAATCATTGAACTCTTTTGGGCACAATCCCGATTTTCAGAGCGAATGCTACATTGCATTCGGACCAAAAAACACAATAAGTTTCGACTTAATCCGCACGCGATGAGGAGAAGGTCTGGGGCAGGTGCAAGAGTGGGCTGAAGTGTGTTCGGGGGGTGGTGAGTGGGCAAGTTGCAGGTGTGCATGGCCAATAATTCACCGAGAGCAAGGCTGACATGCCACAGAGGAACCGTGGCACAAAAACTGAGGTTTTCGGGCTAAAATCGAAAAGGAAAAGCCCCAAAGAGATTAGCTACTTAGTGAACTATATACCGATATATATAGGTATATACTTACACAAGGAGTCAAAGAGATGGGGGGAAAGGGAGGGGGCGTGGGCAGGAAATGGAAATGGCAATGGCAATTTCAAAGTTTTTCCCTGCCTAAAAATGGTCAGGCGGCAATGGTTTTTGGCTCCAACAGACAACAAAAATCACAGAAACAAAGCAACTAATGTGACGCCGCCGCTCGTAAAACACCAGTTTGCTTTTTTCGATTTTTTTTTCTGCTTTCTGTTTTGTTAAACACTTAATATTAGTTGTGGAAGTTGTAAAAATAATTTTTATAGCTTGAGGAAAATGGGTTGTGTGTTGTCTTTCGAAGCATGGTTTTTGTTTTGAACTCGGCCTTTTTTGCGCAATAGATAAATTGATTTTTGTTGTTCTGCCGTAACGAGAGAGAATTTATAAAGATTACGATCCAAGCATGATTATGAATGGCCAAAAGAGTTGGCCAACTAAGCGAGAATGAATGCCATGATTTGTGGCAGGAAATTATCCAGTCTCGAGGTGGAGCAGCCAGTCTTACACAGAAAAAATAAATGTTTTGAAGATTTCAACAGTTTCTAGATTAACTATTATAGCTAAGCTTTTGGTATAAATTAATTTCAAAATACCTTTTTACTCATTCTCAAAAATATTTAAAACCATAGGGACTTGGCCTGACTTTTGAAATAACATCTTAATAAGAAAAACATTTTAAGCAGAATTATATTTTTATTGTTCATCTTAAACCATTAAATTAAATGTCTTAGGAAGTCAAGTCGCATATTTCTTTGTATAAGAAAACAGCTTCTCTTCTCATTTTTTCGATTTGTGGAAAGTATTTGCTTCTCCACTTCGAGACTTTTTTCTGTGTAAACAAATATAGCAGAAGTAGGTACACACATATCCATATGCTAATGCATGCAATGAAATGGAGACGGCGACAACAATGCCAGCCCATAGACTTCTATTCCAGCTGGCGAAACTGTGCGCATGTGCAGCAGAATCGGAGAATCGGGGAATCTGAGCCAGAAGCTGAGGCGGGATCCGGGGTAAGAAGTCTGAACAAACACAGCAAATAAATAGCTGGCAGTTCATTGAACTCTCCTCAATCACTCGTCGCCAGAGCGAAACTGCACAGTTGCAACTGCAGCAGCAGCAGCAGCAGCAGCAACTGCAACAGCAAAAGCACAGCAGCAACTTATGGGGAGAGAACGTGACTGGGTTCTGATGACAGCCATGGATGCAGTGCATCAGGTCCATTGTGTGTGCACAAATAATCGAGATGCCATTTGGCAAATTTGCCGCGAGTGGGTGTCTGTCTGTCCTCCAGCCGGCGGATGGAGTATGGAGTATGGAGCTTGGTAATCGAAACACGCAGCCTCTGGAGCGGATTCGTGGGTTCAATTAGCAGGAGCCGTGACTTCTCCAGTGGATTCTGGGAAGCATTACCGCGTCAACTGCCATTTACATGGAGCAGTTACCACGTTCCAGCTGGCCCGGCTCATTTGCAGCCGCTTATGGACCATCCATCCATCCATGCAACCGATGGATGCGGCCTGTAACTACCATAAATCAACTCCAGCTGCTGCGCATGCGCCATACTTAGTGCTATTAAAACGTCACGGAAGTCGGAACGTGAGCAGCAGCGAGAATTCGAATTCGAATGCGAATGCGAATGCCATGGAGCGGGCATATGGGAGCACCATACGATCCATGGGAAACGCTGGCCAGCTAGTGTTTCTCGGCATTTATACGCGATCAATTAGGCTAGAATTGTTGGAAAATTGGGGAGAAATTGGTGGATTAATGCAGCGGCAGACGAGTCAAAGTTGGCGTGACCCGCGTCCCGAGATTCGCATGTCAAGAGGGCATTTGGCCTCAGCCCCAGTCCCAGACCCAGTCCCAGCGCCATGAGAAGTCCTTCATCAATCTGTGGAACGCCGCTGCGATGTGTCTCAAATGGCACGTTAACGAGTTCAAGTGGCTCAAACTGAGAAGCCGAGTTCAAAGGTGTTTGCCTCGCCGAGAGTCTCGTTTGCATTTGCATGCCGCACTTTGGGAAAATTCTCCACACGCCAACAATGGAAAGCGAGCTGCTCGTTTTTTGCTTTCCCCCTTTTTCGTTGGTAGAAAATGGGTTAACCACTCACAAACACCAGAGCCGAAGGTTAGTTGATGAAGGGGCAGTAATAGCTGTATGCAGGGGGACTATGATTTGATTCGAGCTGATTGTCTGTAATTGGATGGGTCTACGTCTATCCCAAAAGCGCTACGTGCCTTTATGTCGATACCAAAAGCTGGGAGTTACCAAATACCAAGCCTGGGGTTAATTGTGGCAACAAAAACTCACCTTATCACAGCCGCCGGATCCGGTGATCGAGCCTCCATGTCGCTCCAGGGAGAGAGTTCCCGCTTCCGATTCCAAGGGCGTCCTTGCCTGATGAACCAACTGAATCCTGCCCTGGGAGATCTGTATATAATTCGGCGGCGGCGGCATTAAGTCAAGCACATCGTCCTTGTCATCCTCATCGCAATCCTTCTCGTTTTGCCTGAAATATACAAAAAAAAACAAAAAAGATCAGTTTGCATTCGGCCTTGGTTCTTAATTTTTTTCTACGCCCAACAGTTTCCCAACCAATTTTTGTTGGTAATTGTTCACTTCGCTACAATACAAAGTGGTTTCCATATCGCCATTGCATAGTCGGCATATTTTTTAGATTGCCCCATAAAGAAGTGTCAAAATATTTCCTATTGCTCACGTCGCTTATCGGCAAATTCCGAAAAAAAATTAAATAAGCGGCCAAACCGTTGCACAATGCAAAAATATATACCACATCAAGTATAGTAAATATAGGCTAGGAGAAACTATGCAGAGGCAGCTCATAAAGTGATCTCAACACATACACCAAGAAAAATTAATGTTTAATACAATAAACACTATTACGATTTTTTAGTACATACATATTTAAGTGTTTGGTATAAAGAATTCTATATTTTTTTAATCTTTCCATAATTAAAATTATCTTGGATTTTTAAAACAAATACATTTGAATACATTTTGTAACTTCTTTTCTGTCATTTTCTGACATAATTGTTTAAATCTAAAAGTTTTTAAAAAAAACTTTAAGTATCTGGTTAAAAACGTATTTCTTTCTTAGTTCATGTTTACTGCACAACTCCAATTGATGGGGGTTACCACCTTGCGGCGGTTTTTGACACGACCCGAATAGACTGCGACAGAGATATCAATTGTGTTTGTGCCTTTGAGTGTGCAAAGTGCATGGGATCACCTGCTGTTTGGGGGCCTAAGGGGATTGGGATATTTGTACCCGTATCCGTACCCGTAGCCGTACATTACATGCATAAGTACTCGTATCGTCAGCATCCCAGTGCTAACAACGAAAAGTCGCTCGTTATTTCCAATTGAATTTGCAGCTAAGTGCAAATAATTCGATAAAATTGCCACTCGGAGGCATTCGAGTGGGCAAACACTGGCCAAAAAGTAGTGAGAAGAAAAAAACGAAATCACCATGAGGCCAAAATGCTTTTGGCTTGCCAGCTTGTCTACGTTCACATCTAAGCCAGCTTCTGCCCCACTGCCCCTCTCACCCTCTCACCCTTTTGGCTTTTAGCTCTTAGCCCGGTCCAGCTGCAATCCAGTTTTACACACTCTAACTATCGAGTTGCCGACTTCGGACTGCCGACTGCAGTTGAATAAATGGCCACAAAAAAGAGCTGCAAACAATCTTACAAGCTAATCGCACAAAATGTTTCGTTTCGTGTTTGACGTTGACACCGGACAAGTGGGCAGTGGCCAGTACCGATGCATATGCATATATATATATATATGCCTATGCCTATGCCTATATTTTGGTCTCCCAGCATATCGGTGTCCATATCGCGCGTATCGTTTTTCCAACTCCAGCTCCTGCCCCAGTCGAGTATTCTGCTGCCCACGTGCCCCATAGAATTTCCATTCGTCTTTGATTTATAGGCATCGAATAAAGCAATCAAAATCAATTTAACTGTTATCAAGCTGGCCATTGGCAGTCGGTAATTAAGTGAGACGCGAAGTATCGCATCGCGTGCAAGTGCGTCAGCCATCCTCTGTTCAATCATCCGCAGACTCCCAGTCATCATCATCATCATCTTCATCATCCTGCGTTAGATGCAAACCTAATTAGAGAGACGCGCGAGTCAAAAGGCCAGCTAATGACATTACAGGGCTTTAATTAACGCAGCCCTGCAATTACCGCTGCCCGATTGCCCGATTCCATCCCATCATCCTATAATCCCATCAAGCCATCACCCGATCAATTGACAGTGAAATAGTGCCGAAGGCGGCAAGGTGCAGAGTGCAAACGTTGCACTTTAGGCGGACCAATTTAGCACTGACTCATCCAGCTTATGTGTGCACAACATAGACTGTGGAAAACCGTGTCCAAAAACTAAAAATAACAAAAGCTAAAAATATATTTAAAATAAAAGCAAAATAAATCTTTTGGATAAGAACAACCTTAAGACAGTCATGGTATTGAAAGATGGGATTGTACCTGAAAAGCTATTTTGGTATAAAGACAATTATTACTGGTGCATAAATCATACAATTAGTTTAAAGTCATACTGTTAAGACTATATTGGTATTATTATTTATATGGGTAATTTTTGTAATGAATTTTTTATATATCATAATAAGCATTAAAAAGTGTAAGTATTTGTTATAGCAATTTTAAAGCATTTTACTCACTAGTTTACTTTCCCTTAGTTAAATTTTTGCATTAAAAACATTTTGTACTTCTTCTTTTCTTGGAAACTTTTAGACTTAAGAACATTAGGTAAAAATATTAATATAATGAAATGTGTTTATTTATGTATTAAAATAAGCCCAAACTTTTCTTTTGTCGAGTTTAATAAAAATATAAATCAAAGCAAATTTTATATTTATTTTTTTCTTCAGTGTACGATACAGAAGCCATAAGTTACGCACAAGTTTTGCTTGAATTTGCATTTCTATCGAAGCGCTTAACGTCGAATATACGGATGATGGCTCCAAGGGGGGAATTGTTCTAGTATAGCAATAGCTATAGCTTTGGCGATTCCCTATCCATCGGTCATTCGGTTAAGCCCCCAGTCCCCAGTACCCCGTGCCTCTTGTTCTTTTTCTGGCTTTGTGGCAACATTCGTTCACTGATTATGCGTTTTATGCGACGACCATAAATTTCCGCTGTCGCTGGTCTCGTCTGCTTCCTTTTCTCCCTTCTCTCCCCAATATATAGTGTATATCCCCTGCTCCCCAAAATCCGTCTCATCCGCCGTCCAGCGCTTATCACTGGCCATTGCAGTTGGCATAAAAATAAATATTGCACAAATGCGTATAAAAAGTAAATAAAATAAAGCAAGTAGCCGTCGCGGGGGGACTTCGTTTTATACGACCTACAAAAAAGCCGCATAAGGCGCTTACTACCGCACTTCTCATTCCGTTCCGTTCTCGTTCCCGGCGAACTGGAGATGGTCGGAATCTCGTGCCGTCTTTTAAGAGCGATTTCGAGGGGCATAATTATGCGAACACTGTAATTGACGGCTGCTCACGCCGATAAGCCAAGAGGCATAATTGTGGTCTCCGAATACAGAGATAAGAACTTACGAGCTTAAGCGGATTCCTTAGTGATGAGTGACCCACTGAGTGGTCATTTTTGCTGAACGCTTTCCAAACACTTATCCACTCAGGAAATAAAATGAGATTTTCTTTGGTTTACTATATAAATGATATGGATTTGTAAGTAACTAATAAAGAAAGAAGTCGTTTTTATTTTAAAAAATTGCGTTTTAATTCTTAATGTAAGGTATCGAAACACAGGCTTAGGAGAAGAGCCCATAAAATAATCACTTAATGACTTATAAAATGCTTTAAAACAGCAAACCCGTCACCAGAGCTTTTCATGTATACTATTTAATAGTTTCAATGATGTTAAAATAGGTAAAAAAGTTGTTCATGCTTATTATTCGAATCATGAACCTATTTAGTTGATCATTTTCCTCTGCCTACTGACGGCTGCTAAACGCTCAATTTGCATTAAACACACCGAATTATTAAACAGCAACTGTAAAGTGCATGTGGGAATATTTGCACACATGCTGTTATGAATTTTCCAACAAGTGTGTGTGTGAGTGTGTGTATGCTGACAATGAGGTCGCCAGAGCAAATAATTTACAGTACTCTGCAGTAATTGCCATAATTTTCGACTGCCATTCGAACCAGGCTTCTCCCCCCAAACTCCCCGTTCGAACTCACCGCCGCCCCCATTTCTGTCATGAATATTGAAAATCGAAGTTAAAGTTGAACCGCCCAACTGTCCAGCTGTCCGAGTGTCCGAATGTCTTTGCGCTCTGCTTGTGGGTGCCCACTGACATGGGCGTGGGCTGAAAAAAAGAAACTATAACTGAAACAGAAACTGAAACAGAAAAACACACTGGCCACACGCAGATGAAGTTGCAGCCTCCTCCAAGCGGGGGCTTCAATACAGTAAAGCTTCTAAGGAGCGAACAATGATTTTACGCTTCTTAACTTTAAAGAGTACCTATTAACGTCTTGATTGTCTTGGTAAATTTAAATCTTCTGTGATTAAATATAAAATTTAATTCAAATTAAAAAATCAATCAAAAGCATTTTTTATAACCGATTTAATGTAACTTAAAGAATTTTTTTAATTTTTCCCAAAAGGCCTAAAGTTTAAACTAAAACTTCAAAACTATGTATAAAAGTTTTCAGACATTATGAGCGTATATTAATTTTTTGAAGTGGCTACCACTTGTAATTAATCAGTTTTAGTACATTTACTCAGCCCAAAGTTTTAAAGTGCCACACACTCGATACTTTCTACTTATGGAACTTGATCTGTGGCAGCGATCTCATCTGATAGAATAGTGCAATTCTGCAACTCTATAGTGCGCTACTGTCTGCTGGAGCAGAGAATTTTCCGTTTGTTGAATTGCATAATTTATGGGCCTGAAGATCGATTTTAATCGATGGTTGCTGTTGTATCTCACGGCCTTATATGGCAAGTAGTGGCTAAAAACCAATGTGCCTGGGGGGCGTGTTTGTTCTGTATGCCTTCACCGTTACATACAGGCACTTAGGCGTACATATGTTCTTGTGTTAATTTATTCATGAGCTGGCGAGCGGGCTAAGCTTCCGTTATAAATCCGCGCTTAGTGCACTCCATGCTCCGCTGCACATCGGGCACTGCATCTTGCTCCCACTCACCGCCCCTCTCACTCTCGCACCCTGTGTTTGGTTTTTGTTTGTCTGCCAAAGGGCCCTCGCCTCCTCACACGTAACCCATTTCGCAGAGTTGAAACAAATCCAACAGTGTAGCCCAAATAGGCGTGTCAGCCTGTCCCTCTTGTCTTTATGGTTTACTCTAGAATGAGGTCTTAATTCGAGGGTGCCACTATAGCTATGTTCACGTCAGATCTAGCTAAGCTCTATCTCACTAAAAATTAAGGATTTTAGGTGATCCAACTAATATTACCTATTTTCCTTCTTGGG